GGCAATATGCTGACTCTCTGTAAACCGCTTAGAGAGGGCTGAAAGCCCTATGAAGCGGTATATAAGTCTACTGCTATTGCTATTGCTATATTCTTAGTATACATGTATTGGATTGCTTTGTTGATCTGCCATATTCTAATGTGTTCAGTGGACTTAACGTTGATTTACCCTTCAGTTTAAATCTGCTGAAGCAAGTAGTACTGCTGCTAAGAAAGAAATCTGAAGCAATTTTCAAATTAAAACTGATGCAAAAGATATATTTTCATGCATGTTTAGAATTAGTCTACTTGACTCCAGTGCTAAAACAGGTTGAAGCCTTCAGATGGGGGCAGATTTTGTATGAATAAATAAGTAGCTAATATATGATCGGAGCGCCATTTCTGGGTGATGTGCTTCTATTGTCTAATTATCACTTTTTATCCAAACCTGTCCCAATTATGAAAAATTTAGATGACTTTTATCTTCTTCCCCACACATTCTAGGAGACAGAAAATCTGTAGGGCTTGCCGAGTGTCATGGTTTCCTGTTAGGAATTGCTTATATTCCACTAATGAAGAGCTGTATCTTACCAGTTCTAGGAAGAAAGCAATGACAAATCACTTCTGATAATGATGCAACATAGCAGCATGGACCTGACCATGTAGTATCCCGGAATCAAGAGTGATTTGAAAGAACCAAAAAATGTATGTGTGTGTGTGTAAATACCATACTCACAAAATGATGGACTTTTCCTTTTTCTCTTCATTAATAGGTCATTCAACCCTTTTTTCCCCTTGCTCGGTTGCTTCATGACTCCTGGGGTGCAGCTCTGGGCTGTATGGGCTATGCAACATGTTTGCAGCAAAAATTGTATGTATTTATTGACAAAAAACAAGCTTTCTTTATATTAAGCAGTTCTTTCAACATAAGAGTAATTAGTAGACACCAGATAATTCTTGTGATATCTAGCAAAACAGATTTGAAATAATTTTGGGGGGAATGGAAATCATTACATAGTCATTCTGTCACAGTTAAAAGGCAAGCTATGTGAGCAGGTGAATTGTAAATGTTTTTGATTTTAGCAGCTGATGATGCAGTGGGTAGCATTTTGAACTTGCAAACAATCTAGCTTGGTGTTTGTTCAACTGATAAGTCAGTCTATGTCTAATAAATGTAACAAGACACTTGCTATCCTCTTCCTCTTGATTAAAGTGTTCTTCATCCATTTATGAGTAAACAGAAACCACAATCGATATAAAATTTGATTGCCCCCAATGTCAATCTATATCCTGTCTCCATTGCCTTTTTTAAACTGCCTTTCTAAATGATGCTATGATGCATATGCAATGCATGATAGGTAAAATAATTGTCTGAGCTTCTTGTTTTGCTCTTTGTTGGATTTATTCCTTCAATTACATGAAAATATGTAACAGGGAATATCCTTTAAAACAAACTCAAGACCCATAGGCCCAGATCAGGCCCGCGAACTGCTTAAATCTCGCCATCTTGGAAATAGCAAAGGACTGGTCCGTGATGCCTCTGGCAGCCAAAATGGGGCAAGGGGCTGGACAGCCTCCTGTAGTACCTGCCAGCCAAAACAGGGCACAAGCTGTTTTGGCTGGCAGGGTGGTACAGGACGCCAGCCAGGCCAAAAATGGGGCATGGGGGGTTGCGCGTGCCCCTCCCGCATGCCCCATTTTTGCCGGCAGGGTGTTGCAGGAGGCGTCCATCCCGTCTCCCCCCCACCCCCCACCTGGCCCATGGAGAACTGCAATACTGATCCAGCCCTTGAAGAAATCCAGTTTGACACCCCTGCTTTAAAGTCCTGGGGTGGTAGAAATACTTATGTATACATACCATGTAATCTTATGTCCATCATTTCTTCAAGAAGCAAATAGTATAGCAGAGAACTGAGGATGCCTTCTGACAATTGCACTTCACAAAATAATTTTGCTAAATCTATAGGCAGCTTAACAAGAATTTAAATATGTAAAAGTTATATGTGAAACTTGGTGGAAACAGACAGTGAAATTCTGGACACTTGACTTTATTGAATCTTTCTCTTTTTGTCATTTCAGCTGCCAGGTACTGCAGTATGTTAATTGAAGAAGGTGGATTGCATCATTTGTTTAACATCAAAGAAAACAGCCAGACTGATGCAGATGTTCAGCGAATTGCTGTCTCTATCTTAGATAGTTTAGAAAAACATATTTTGCGACATGGACGGCCACCTCCTTATTGAAAAAACAAATTGAAAATAAGCCAAATTGAATGAAAATATGTAACAGGGAATAGGCGTGCAAATTATCCTCTCATAATCCCTTACTGAAATGTCCCTGATTGGAATAATGTTGATAAAAGTGGTCACCATTAATTTTTTGTCAGCTGGTATGGAAGCAGGGGTGGTACATGTTATCTTTAACAGACTTCGGCATTAAGGGATTGTCAAGAGGATTTGGGAAAAAGTCCTAACTGGTAATATCTACTGGTATCACCTCTGGTTGTGGAAAAGTAGAAATTGTGCCATTCAAATGGACATTCAAAATTAAACCTGTAGACTGTGTGAGTTCATCAGAAAATTGTTTCTGCTTGCTTCATCCCTTCAAAATAGTTGTGTTTCAATAGAACTATCCACTGATTCAGTATTTGAAAAAAAACTGTTTGTGCTTGTAATGTCAGCACTATACAGCTCAAAACACTGTCATATATTCACACATTAGAACCCAACAGGTTATGAGTAAGGTGACCAGGGATGTTTGCTCTTCTGTGGACCCTTTAAACGCATGGATTCTTCAGTTCCTAGTAGTATTTCATATAAGCTCTTTAGCAGAAACATCTGAGTTTCAAACCACAGGGTGTCTTTTTTCCCCTCTTCAGTAATATATTTTATAGGGTGGCTCAGTGGCTAAGAGACTGAGTTTGTCGATCAGAAAGGTCAGCAGTTCGGCGGTTCGAATCCCTAGCACTGCGTAACAGAGTGAGCTCCCATTACTTGCCCCAGTTTCTTTCAACCTAGCAGTTTGAAAGCATGTAAAATGCAAGTAGAAAAATAGGAACCACCTTTGGTGAGAAGGTAACAGCGTTCCGTGCGCCCTTGGTGTTTAGTCATGACGGCCACATGACCACGGAGATGTCTTCAGACAGCTCTGGCTCTTCGGCTTTGAAATGAAAATGAGCACCACTCTTTAGAGTCGGGAATGACTAGCACATATGTGCGAGGGGAACCTTTACCTTTAATATACATTAATGAAAATATCTATGGAGGAAGAAATGTCGGAAGGGAAAGATTGAATTATAATTTTTTTAAAAAGAATATATTATGTTGCTACACTTGTAACTAAGTGTAAATTTGAAAAAAAAAAGTAAACTAAAATTTTCTACCAAAAGAATTGCTGGGGGAAATTTGCTCAATGGTATTATACATCTAATCACCTTATTTATGACAGACTGTTAATAGCTTTGTTCTTTCTCATAAATACCTTGTCAGTATTTGTGCTGTGAGCTTTATGTGGAAGGCAATGCCATACAAAATCTCACCCAACATTTTATGTAAAAGTCTGGTGTAAATTACATTCTTGTGTGGTATATTAAAATTTTTTTACATAAAACATTCCATGTTTAAAAACTCAATAATGCAGATGTGTTGATGCTTAATGGAATAAGATGAAAATAGCAACACAAAGTCCACTCTAAAATAGATGTCAACAAACCATGGTTTGGCTGAGGCTTACTTCCAAAGAAGTGCACTATAATGTGCTTCTCCTAATAGAGGTGTGAGGAAGTTGTACGATGGCTAACACTATATCATTGTGGGAGCTAATCTGGTTACAAGAGAAATGACAGTAGTTTTCTATGAGAAACTAATTATGTGTTTTATGTATATGATTTTCAGAAATAAGTTTTAAGTTCAGTGAAAGACTCTTAGAACTTTTGCATAAAATTGTATCTTAAGGCTACAGTCTTGAACTTCAATTATTTGGGAGAAAGCCTCTCAGAATAAAATTGAACTTCTGAGATAGGTTTATATGTGAATTATGGCTCCTATCCTGATTTCTTTCTTTCTTTCTTTTTTTGATAAATGACATAAAAAAGAATGCTTCCCAGCAAGTCTTTAATTGTATAATTTGCCCTGCCTCAAACATGGGTCCAGATGATCTTTCCATTCTTTATTTCTGGGGGGGGGGGGGGACTATTTCTTTCATTTTGATTTTAATCTTAAATATGGTAATAGTCTACTAGCTATATTTCTAAAAATCCATGTGACAGAATGAATCCCAGGAATAATTAAACTTTATTATTTTTATTATACACACACACATACACACACACAGTTATGATCTGGCTCCAAAAATTGGGGTGGAATGGGCACAAGGTTTTGAAAGAATTCTTAGTGAGGTCTTCTAAAATTCAAACCAGGTATGGTAATCTAATTTTTATCATCCATCTTCAAAATGATATTCATAGACTCACTGAATAAGAATAGTAGAACCATTTTAATTAGAATTTTAAAAAGCAAATGGTATAGTGACAATGTCTGCCTCTACTGGTCTGTGCCCCAACTGTTGGAAGAAATGTCCATCTGGGTTCAAGTCCAAGTGGGGAAAAAGACAGTGGAAACATGGAAAGAATGTTTAATGGTGGACAGGATCTCATGGCTTGAGTTCCTGAACAGAAAAGGGGATCACATGCTTCCAGATGTTGGGTGAAGAAAAGAGACCAAAATGCTGAAAGTTCCTGGCTTTGTGCCCTCTCTTGCCTTTGATCATGATCTTGTATTCTTATTGGTTGTCAGACTCCCATGGGACCATGCAGGGGCAACTCTTTAGGTTGTGCTTTGAGTCCAAGTTTGGTTGAGCATTGCTTCTTCCCAGGTGCCCTGTGGTGAGTTTCTGTAGGCTAATCCTACCTTTGTTATGTAGAGTAGACTACATCAGGCTTTTTAATGGCCCATTGACATGATGAAAGAAATGTCCTTCTGGGTTCGTCTCCAAGTGGGGGAAAAGACACTGGAGACATGGAGACTGCTTGGAAAGATGGTTTATTGTTGGACAGGATCACATGGCTTGAGCCCTGAACAGAAAAGGGGATCNTCTATCTATCTATCTATCTATCTATCTATCTATCTATCTATCTATCTATCTTATGCTATGATTTAAACCAAAACAAGTGTATGGCTGGACAACAACATGTGTTCGAGACATAACACTAAGATAATTATTTACTAGCTATATGGACCCAGTGAGCCTTTTGGATAGCTTATGATGAAAGAAAAGTAAGGAAAAAGGAAGAGAATCTTAGGATTCTTAAAGGCTGGACCGCTATGAAAACAATAATTTAGTTTGATAAGTTAATTTAAAATGAAAATGAAAGCTAGCATTAAATACATACCTAATTCTGGTACCAGTTTAGAAAAGACAAAAGATCTAGATTTTAAGAAATAAAACCTACTTAAAATATAAGATATAATTTAACAATTTAATTTAATTTTCCCCTTCGGGGAAAAGGGCAGCATATAAATGTAATCAATCAATCAATCAATCAACAAAATTAATTTTCAGAAAACATTACTTCATGTCTGTTAGATTTTAAAAAATGGTTTAAAAGTGCAGGGTTTTTTTTGTGGGGCATTAAAAATAAGGTTTTTTTAAAATAACAGTCCTTAGTATTGTTTAAAAAAAGTTGCTATAAAACAATTGGAAAAATGGAAAGGATTGTAGGAATTTCATTTTTAAGAATTCTGACTGTAAAACTTTATTATTGTGTGGAATATCTACTGCTTAGAGAATATTGGAGTTTCCTAAACATTAGGTGTCTTAGGGAAGATTCAGAAAAATGGTTTGGCTCCAGAGATAATGTCCCATGATCACCCTTGCATAATCACAGCTTGTGAGTAGGTGATCCAAAAATCATGTTTATCTTTTTTTTTCTATTCTTCCATCTGTTACTTGCGCTTTCCTTTAGTGTATATAATAAATTACTTGACTCTTAAATCCCCAATATCGCAAGAGTGACAATAAGTTCACTTCATTTTTTGTGTGGTTAGTTTGTTGCTCTGTTGTTGTTCTCGTCATTTCCAATGTGCAGAACAATGAGATGCAGATGGTGCTGCATTTCTCTTTGCAAAGGACAGAGACATTCCTGCCAGCCAAACAATAGGGCTGATCTGTGAAACAGCAGTTCTCTAGTGGGGAATTGGTTGGGCGTGGTGATGGGAATTGTATTTTAGAGACAGGCTATGCACTGCAGTTCAGTAACTGTTCATGGCTGAGTTCTGTTGCTCTAAATGATAATGTAATTTGTTTGGTGATGGCTTGGCATTTTGCATATATATCAAGCTATAATATTGCATGTGTAGATATGTACATGTAGGTATGTGGCTTAATATTTATACAAAAAAATGGTACAATTCTGGTTACTGAAATAAATTATGTCAAACAATTAACTGCACAAACCAGATCACAGTGTTCTCTCCCGTTAGTTCTTTAATATTTTCGATATATGACACTGTACAGGTAGTCCTTGACTTACAACAGTTCATTTAGTGACTGTTCAAAGTTACAAGGGCACTGGAAAAAGT